AAAATGAACACATCATTATGTTGGCTTATTTATGTAAATTATAATTTATGACAAATAACTTACAGTGAACAAAAGACTCACGTATTGTCTTGAACATGAACCGTGGGATACAACATGTCATTGTTTGAATTTGGGTTGGCCAAAGCCTCCAGCTCAAGCTTCACTCTCCGCAGTATATTCAATGAAATGTGCCTCTACACAATTACAAATGATTATCACACAGGGGATACTACGATTGTCCACAAAAGTAGCAGAATAATCACAACACTTACAAAAGTTTGCGCCATCATTTGCTGCCCTTTTAATGCTGGATCAGACTTATTCTTCTTCTTCTTTTGGTGCTTCATTATATCCTCACTACCACGCAGAGAGTCCAGCACATAAAACTTTAGTGTACTCGATTCAAACACAAAGTAAAACCAATACAGTGCAAACACAACAGGTGCCAAATGTATTCACATTCAGCCAAATTGTATCCTAGGTGTTGGGGGAGTAGTTCTTTCAGATGTTTGTCCACTTGCCATGCTATGTGTTGCTACACCATCCTTGCCTATCACAACAGCAAATTGCACAGCAATACAAATTGTCAGTGAAGAAATTGTACTGATAACTTGATTGCACAATTTAAAGCATTGATCCATTAACAGGGGATAACACTAACCGTGAAATCTGCATCAAATATGTGTCTTTTAACCACAGAGGCACTCTCCTGTTGGTCGGCATTCAAGGTGTGGGCAATCAGAGTCATGATTTGCAGAATAAAGGAGTAGGAAAATTAAATTAAAAATGTGGCACATTCCATATATGGCCACTTTGATGTAAATTGAACAGGTGCACGTACCCTGTTGCTTATCCACCTTCTAGGACCCAGTGCTTGTAGGTCTGCTCGTATTGCCAAATGCCCAAACATATCTACCATGACCCTACAACAAAATATGAAAGTGAAAATAAGTAGTCAGTGTTGCATAGTAGTATTATTTACAGGCTGTCTTTTCTATAATAACTGACTATACTTACTCTTGAGCCTCATCTAGTGACACCACTCAGTACACACAGCATAAAAATGCATCCCTGTCACTCATTTTCACCTTTCTGCCATAAGTAGACATGTAAGGAGATTTAACTATGGGAGTTTTACGTCTACTTGACCCCTTATGGGTAGTTGCACTTACTTTGCCCACCATTTTCCCTTCTCAGTTTCAGTTACTTGTTCATCTTCAGTATCTTTTCTACAGCTTCATCTTCTCACATTGTCATTCTCGTCTTCATCTTCCTCTTCTTCTTCTTGCTGTTCATCATCATGCGATTTATCACTACTTTCATGTGTTTCTCCGCCCTTTACACAGTCATAACATATCAAGTTATGGCCGCTCATTTTCATCCTCCTCAGTGTGTGTTCTTTTCCTCTTCTTCATTGCCTCCTCGGTTAAGAATTTTTTTTTGCAGCTTGACTAATTCATCACAAACAAAGTTTTGAATCTGGGCCATCTCATTGTTCAATGTGTTGTGAAATTGACCAAAACTCCTTAATGTCCTGCACATTGTAAATGTATGTCATCAAACAGATATTAAGTCTGACCAACAGACATTACCACATTGGTATTACTCACTGGATGATGGAAACTTCTGTTGCTCCCCGGTTGTGTTGACTCATTCACTTCAGCAGTGGGTGGATTGTAGAAAATGTCATGTCAAATCTCCTTTTCCGCGTCAATTCTACTCTTCATAGCCTTATCATCCCAATGTCTGACGGCGTCTTTGTCTTTTGGTTCACCTCCTGCAGAGGGAACCTGTGTAGGAAGTACAACTATAGAGAAAGAAAAAATATGACTCAAAAATCAAATTACATAATACATTAAAGTTTAATGGTTAAACCATATCCAACAGGGCATATTTTGTAAGGAAATATGTAAGTACCAATAAAAAAGTAGATGCACCCTCCAACAATTCTGGCACTTTCGGTCTGTCCTTCCTATTGCTCCTATTGTACCGTTTAATTTCTTCACTGAGCTCGTCAAGCACAAAGGAAGCCCAGTCAAAAATTTTGCCAGTTATTTGCTGTGCAGGCCATTACTTTTAGCACCTTCTCACTCACACTTGCACTTCCGTGGGACAAAGAAGAGTGCCCACTGTGAAAAGAACAAAATAGAATTTAAAGTTTCCATCTTCTTCATCACTCTTTATCTTCTCCGCAATTTGAGAATATGTCAGTGGAGTATAGTCCTTCTTCAGCTCATTTACTTCATCCTTGAAGCCATCCAACTTCACTTTGGAGCCCTTATCTGGTAACCCAAGAACCCTCCTAACATCTGTACCAGTTACTTCTTTGTCTTCCCCCTTATGGTGATTTGTTTACTTGGGGGGTCATATGCATGAATCAACTCCAGACATAAATCTCTGGGCAGTTTATTCAAAGTAATACCAAGAAGATGACCAAACCCCTTTCTTCTACCTTGCGCTTTAAATTTTCTTTACCATTTATAAAGTTTGCTACTTCCTTGAATTTTTGTAGGGGAGCACTAAGTAGAAAATGGGGACACATATTTCTCCTTCTTCTTCTTCTTCTTCTTCTCTTCTATCAGTTGTTGCTCCTTCTTCCTGTAGGCTCCCTGTCAGCATCACTCATCTCCTTCCAAATTGCTGAAGCGCATCTGTGATTGCTTTCATATTTCCATGCATCTCCTGCTTCTTTTGCTCCCAATATTCTCCCTTGAATATTTTTCAGCCGGTAACTTGTGCATCCTTTTTTTCCCATCTTATTCCTTTATCCAATAATCACAAAGTCATTAGTTAGTAGATTAAACAGCACTTCAAAATTCATACCATCCAACATTTCTTGTTACATAAACCCGAAAATTGTATACACACTAATTGTTATTGTTAAATCCTTAACTTTACTTGTCATACGATAGGATATCAAATTGTTACATGCAGGTTAACTGGATAATGACACCATTCTTCATGTAAATTAGCTAACATTCATTGTCAGGCCATAAAAGATCAGATTCCAACTAACACGAAATTATGCAATAGAGGTGGTTAATTAACTACTTTTTCATGCCAATTTCCTAACTTTCACACTCCAACACAGATCAAACAATTATACCGAAGAATAGTGGAAATTCAGCTAATTGCTCATGTCAATTGTCTAATTTTCTCTGTAAGGCCACTGCAAACCAGATTCCCACAAACATGCAATTATGCAACAGAGGTGGTTAATTAACTAATTGTTGAGGTAAATTTCCTAACTTTCAGAGTCCAACACGCATCAACAGTTACACATAAGCTAAGTGGAAATTCAGCTCACTGGTGGTGTCAATGTCCTAATTTTTCCCTATGAGGCAACTGCACACCAAATTCCCACAAACTTAGTGGGTAATTTACTGATTCTCCATGCAAATTGCCTAACTTGATAGATTCCACGAAATATGAAACCGTTAGACAGGAGCTAGGCGGATAATCCCCTAAATCCTTGTGTCAATTGACTAATTTCTCCTGTGAGGCCCACTACGGATCACATGCCAACAAACATGAAATTTTGAATTGCAAGTTGTTACTTTACTGATTGTTCATGTAAATTTTCTAACTTCCAGAGTCCAACACACATCAAGTAGTTACACAGAAGTTAAGTGGAAATTCAGCAAATTGCTCGTATCAATTGCCTAATTTTCCCTGTGAGGCCACTGCAAACCAGATTCCCACAAACATGCAATTATGCAATAGAGGTGGTTAATTAACTAATTATTGAGGTAAATTTCCTAACTTTCAGAGTCCAACACGCATCAAACAGTTACACATAAGCTAAGTGGAAATTCAGCTTACTGGTGGTGTCAATTGCCTAATTTTCCCTTTGAGGTAACTGCACACCAAATTCCCACAAACTTAGTGGTAATTTACTAATTCTCCATGCAAATTGCCTAACTTGACAGATTCTACGAAATATGAAACCGTTAGACAGGAGCTAGCTGATAATCCCCTAAATCCTCGTGCCAATTGACTAATTTCTCCTGTGAGGCCCACTACAGATCACATGCCAACAAACATGAAATTTTGAATTGCAAGTTGTTACTTTACTGATTGTTCATGTAAATTTCCTAACTTCCAAAGTCCAACACACATCAAGTAGTTACACAGAAGCTAAGTGGAAATTCAGCTAATTGCTCATGTCAATTGCCTAATTTTCCCTGTGAGGCCACTGCAAACCAGATTCCCACAAACATAGTGGGTAATTTACTGATTCTCCATGTAAATTGCCTAACTTGACAGATTCCTGGAAACATGAAACCGTTTGACAGAAGCTAACTAGATAAACCCCTAATTCCTCATGTCAATTGCCTAATTTTCCTTGTGAGGCCACTACAGATCAGATTCCAACAAACATAGCTAGTAATTTATTGATTTTTCATGTAAATTGCCTAACTTGACAGGTATATGCAAACATGAGGTTGTCACATGCAACTGGTTAGTCAACTAATTCTTCACGTCAATTGACTAACTCCTATTGTTAGCCCACAAAATCTCACATTCCAACAATCAACAGGATAAACCAAACAAAACAAACTCATTTGCCTAATCCATACGACAACATTTGCCCCTCCCAATTCTTTTCTTAATTCCTGCAAAATGCCTACAAACTATAGCAATAAAGTTAACTACCAACACTAATTTTTTCCTAAATAATAATAACTTTCTTACTTAGCTCCCACACAAACTCTTCATGCTACACTCACAAGCCTTCGCTCACTAAATCAGGAGCATTTGCTAAAAGGCAGTAGGGGTGACGACCGAACACTATGTGACACATTGGTAATCATTCCTAGGTTAGAACCTAAATGTCGTTACCAACACACCCACCTTCAGTGGGTCATTCCTCCTTAACCTACCATGAAAACAGAAGAATCGAACAAATCTACTGCATTTAATGGGGACCGCGAAGCTTACCAAAGGAAATCAGTGACTTCTTCTCGCCCTGCTTCTTCCTTCTTTGTCGATAGCCTTGCGAGTTTCCTATTTTGTCGGCCTCTTCTTATTCTCCTTCTCCTTCAGCTTCTAGTGACTACCACGAACCCGCAGATTGAAGCTAATGGAATTTTTGGGGCCACGTCGAACACTTTTCACAGATTGCGAGAGGCAAGAATCTTCCCATAGAGGTAGCACGTTCGCAGTCGGGAGAGGGCAGATTTTTCGCAGAGTGGTAGCATGTCCGCAGACCGGGAGACGCTACAGTTTTCCCAGAGTGGTTGCACGTTCGCAAAGCAGGAGAGGGAAGAGTTTTCGCACAGTGGGATCATGTTCGCATAGAGAGAGAGCGGGAGGACTTTTGACCGTCGCTTTTTCGCCTCATTTTCAAATTTCAGAGGAAGTAAAATGAGGGGCAATGGCGTCATTTCGTTTGTGAAATTAATATCAGATTGGCCCCTTGGTCCTGCAGTGAGGTTTTAGAAAGTTCTGGGGCTCTTTGACATTATTGTATTCTGCGGTCCTTCAGTGAAATTCTCCCAAAAAGAAAAGGGCGCCCTAGATTCATCCTCCCGAGTTCAGACTTCCCCCTCAAAAGGCCGTCTCTCGCTGAAATCTCATTTTGCTATGTGAAGATGTTGCTCTCTCAAGCTACAAGGTACGCCTTCCTTCAGTTTCCTCTCTTTTCTTCCATCATCTTCTTCTCGCTTCCTTATCCATTTACCTCATACCTTTTGTCTCAACTTCCTCCTACATTCCCATTCTTCAAATTCTAATGACACATCACAGATGTGGTTGATTCATTCAATCGGACGCTTTGTAAGCGTCCCCCTCCCTCCATCTTTGAAATTAACAAAATGTTGGGGGCCATTGCCAAAATGAAGCGTTATCCCACCGTTATTTCTCTTTGTTCTCAGGTGCAGTTGAAGGGTTTCACTCCGTCTTTAGCTTTTCTAGCTATTTTGATCAACTGTTACGGCCACGTGGGTCAGATGAATTGTGCTTTCTCCGTATTGGGGAAGATTTTTAAGATGGGTTTTCAACCGAATACTATAACTTTAACTACACTATTGAAGGACTCTGTATCAACAACATGATTGGGGAAGCATTGGATTTCCACGATGAGGTAATTGCAAAAGGATATTTTTTGGATGAAGTTAGTTACGGCACAATAATCAATGGATTATGTAAGGTGGGGAAAACCAGATGTGCTGTCAAATTACTCCAGAAGCTGCCTGGACTTGGAATGAAGGCTGACGTAGTTATGTACAGCACAGTCATGGATGGTCTTTGTAAAGAGGGATTTGTGAGAGAGGCACTTGATTTGTTCTCAGAAATGATTGACAATGGAATATTTCCCGATACTATTGCATACACCACTCTCGTGGATGGATTCTGCAAAATCCAGCAATGGGAAGAAGTTACTGAATTGCTCAATGATATGTTTCGAAGAGGTATCAACATGGATGTGACCACCCTTACTACATTCGTGGATGCATTTTGTAAAGAAGGAAGGATCATAGAAAGTCAAGTCATGTTTGCCAAAATCATGAAGTATGGTCATAAGCCTAATGTCATTTCCTATAACAGCTTAATGAGTGGATATTGTAAGGTCAATAATGTAAAGGAAGCAATTGAAGTATTTAATAAAATGATTAAAAGTGGTTTGAGGCCAAATGTGTTGAGTTATAACGTTTTGATTGATGGGTGTTGTAAGAATAAAAGATTGGATGAGGCCATGTATCTCTTTAAGAAAATGCGTTCAAGAAATTTGGTTCCCAGCATAGCAAGTTATAATTGTCTGATTGACGGCTTTTGCAAAGCAGGAAGAATCTCATTTGCTCGTGATCTTCTTGTTGAGATGCATCACAGAGGTCATCCTCCTAATATAATCACTTATAATATCTTGATACATGCATTATGTAAAAGGCAGGATATTGATCGAGGAATTGCATTATTTCAACATATTGTCGAAAAGAATATTCAACCTACAGTTCGCACTTACAATATTCTCATGGATGGTTTGTGCACTAGTGGAAGATTAAATAAGGCAAGAGAGATTTTTCAATATCTTTTGATGGAAGGTCGGCATCTAGATGCTCTGTCCTATGCTATTATGATCAAAGGACTTTGTAAAGAGGGTTTGTTTGACGAGGCAAAGGCCCTCCTTGATAAAAAAATGGAAGACATCGACTGCATCCTAGACACGCCAACTTTTAGTTATTATTGGACATCTTATTGATAAAAATGAGGATGATGAGGCAGAGAAGCTTCTTCATAAGATGATTTCTAAGTCGTCGTTTAAATGAAACAAGGTGAGACCCTCTATTGTTTGTTTGTTATTGAAGTTGTTGTATCTTACTACTGTTGATGTTCTGTTTAAGCCATATGTTTAGCTAATTTATTTTGACTCTGTTTCATTATCATTGTGAAGTTTTTGTCTTAACATGGCGTTCTTCTTTCTTCCTTAATGGCCCAATTCTAATTTGTTTTATGTTGAAAGCTATTTTTGTCAGCAAACTTATTTTCTCTTTGTTCAATTACCCTATATAATCTAGTTGAGGGTCTCTGTTTTATGTTTAAAGTTACTTTCTTATGATTGAATTGCAAAATTTAATCCGGCTCATCATGACTAGCTACAAAACTGAATTCCCTCTTTCCCGTCAGTGAAATATCCATCCTTTGATTTAAATTTTGCTATTAATTAGCTATGACGCATTGTGGTTTAATAACTTTTACCTTGACTGAAGAGTTTTAGTGGAAAATTTGCACTTCCATCAGCCAATATATTTTGCTATGACATTTTAAGATTGTTGTTTAAATTGAGAGCCCTTGCTATTGTTTAATTTCTACGAGCCAAGTAATGAATTCTTTCAAACGAAACTATCTGTATAATTGCCGTTCTGATGTACAAGTTTTTAATTATATCTTGCATCAATCTATGTACTCCTAACCAGAAGCTTAAAGGGTTGATTGTTCCAAGTGCAAAATCTTATCCTTTTGTTTCCCTTATGAAGGACTTTAGCAAGCAAATTTCTTTTGCACATGTTCTTTAAGGTTCACTAAGTTGCACGAACACACTTGAGTTCCGGAATTCTCTATAATATACATGCAAGTTCAAATGAGATTGTCTACTTCCATTGGCATGAAGTTTCTCTTGCTTTTGATCTTAACTTCATGTGTATCAAATCCCGATATTTATTTGGCATTAACTTTCTAGCTTCATGTTGGAGATTGCTGAGTTTTAGATTAGATAAATGCTTGGTCATACATTATTAGCATAGTCACTTAACTGATATTAGGTTCAGATTTTTTTTTAAAAAAATAATTTTGGCAATGTACAATCTGAAATTAACAAGTTTAGGCATTGGTTTTTTGTTTTTCCTTTTTGATTGATGACATGTATTCTTTTCAAAATAATTATATTTAAGATATAGTTGCGCATTAAATATGAACATATTTCTTAGTAGGGATTCAAATATTAGTTTGATATGTTTTTTTTTTTTAATGAAACATCAGGGTATCCACCGGCGGACCCGGTAACTAATCCCTTCGCTGGCTTGTAGGCACCTCAATGGGTGGGACAGTTGGCCCGGGGTTAGTTTGTTATGTTATTAGGGACTAGTTCTTTCTACTTACAACGTGACCAACTAAATGTAATTTTTTTTTTAGAAAAAATTGTTTGCAGGTTTTTGAATCCTAATTGTTAGTAAGTTCTTTAAAAGAAAAACAATTTTTTTTTTCGTTTTTGCTGTTTGAAATTGATCAGTGAACACCCAATATATTTCCATCAATGGGTGTATCAAAGGGTGTTGTAAACTTGTGAAACTGCGCAAGGAACATGAATTTTTCATCGACATATTATGAAGTCCAAATTAAAATCAAGATATTATTATATTATCCCACTTTATAAATAACTAATTATGCAACTTTCAAAGATTGAATCTATATTCAGCATCCCCAAGGTTTATATTTAGAAAAAAATAATATTAATTAATAATTGATAGTATTAATACGTTATTAGAAATGACAATTAATTATAGCAATATATGGTATGACCATTCAACAAAAAATTTGATACAGGCATGATCAATAATGAATGAGGTGGATTTGCAAAATCTGAATTTATAATAATATCTCATAATTTATATCTGAAAACTAAATATTAATCAATAATTAATAATTTTATTGTATCGTGGCAATAAATTAATAATATCAATAATTGATATAGTTATTCATTAAAAGATAATAATTGATGCACAAACAAAACCTATATTTAGTATAAGTGATTATATAACTATGAGCAATGCAAAATTTTCAGCTTAGTTCAAATCTGTAGTAAATTTGATGGATTTGTTTTATTAATATTTTGCTTCATATAACACTCTTACGATTTGTTGGGGGAAAAACACTCTTAAATTCTATTTGTAAGCCTTATCAATTGGTTGTTAATGAACATGACTGTTATAAAAGTTTAATAAAGGAAGCATTTATAATTAATTTTTAAAATGTCATTATCTATCTATAATGGCTTTTTCCATTCTCTCCTCTTCATGAACTATATCAGCGAATCAGTCATGAGCCGCTCAACCTTTTCTTTTAAATTCCTTGACAAAATAATAACTAATTTTAAAAATATTTACTACAAAAATTATTAAATAATAATTATTTGTGAAATCATCAAAATTAATTTCTCAAACACTCACAACCATTGATCTATTAAAGTCATTATGTTATATAATGCAACAACTTATATGTGTAATAAACAGAGCTCCCTAAGTTTGATGGAAAACATTACAATTGTTCTTTTTTCTTATACACCAAATTACAATTGTTCATCTAAATAAAAATTCACAAGTTATGATTTACATTAACAACTAATAAAAAAATTTACAAGTATTAATAGATGAATTTATAAATGTATATATGCATTTAATAACATTATTAAAGTTTTTTTACGTGTAGAATAATTAAGTTATGAGTTGGAGGGATGATGATTTTTTTAATAAAAAATTTGATAACATAAAAACTTAATTTTAAACGAGTCAAAAATTTAAGAAATCAAATTATAAAAGCTAAAATTTAATTGAATTTTTTCAAAGTCATACTTAAGAAACCAAGTTATAAATGACTAAATAAGTTAAAAATTGAAGTAACATAAGAATAATTTTTTCAAAATTCTATTGCATCCAAATTCAAATGGGATTGGAATAGTGAGAATCAAGGAAAAATATTAAAAATATATACAATGAAAAACAACTAAAAAACTAATTAGAATAGATATTTCAGTTTAAAAAATAATCAATTACTTAACATAAATTACAAAGCACAAGAAAGTAATATAAATAGATAAAAAGAAAAACGACAGAAAATTCTTGTTGAATTTCAAAATAACAAATAAATAATTTTGACATTTAAAACTCTACAAGAATAATTAGCACCACCTATTTATTAATACCTCAGATTTTAATTATAAGATATTGTTTGTAATTTACAAACGCGGTTTTATAATTGGGACTGTAGGTAGTTTTTTTTTCAAAACCTTATTTATCGTTGAGAAAAATAACAGGTATTTTGTGGTATTTTTTTAAATAAAATTAATTTTTATTTATGTAATAAAAATAAAAATTTGTATCTTAATTTTTAAATTTACGAACAAGGTTTTATAATTAGGATTGGAGGTAGTATTTTTTTAAGAACCTTATTTATCATTGAGAAAAATAACAATTATTTTATGGTTTTTTAAATAAAATTAATTTTTATTTATGTATAAAAATAAATTTTATATCTTAATTTTTAAATAGCTTAACGAAGATTATATCAGTTAAACAATATTCAATGCATGATTCCATTAAACTGTTTGAATCAGCTTTTAAAAATGTTTTTTCATTTTACAAAAATTTTGGAATTAGAAATTCAACTCACAAGTTCAGGTTGAAAAAAAGAAAGGGAAAATGACACTAAAATACCACTTGAATTCCAAAAAGACAAATAAGGCACCTGAATAAGCAAAATGACAAAGAAGGCATCAAGTACCAATCTGGAATTTTGATTTTTGGTCTAAAGACTGAATTGCCCTTATTGTGTTTGAAAACTGAGGAGATAGAGAAAGGTAGAAATCACCTCCTCCTAGCGAAAGCAATTCCCCCCACTCGGCGAAAGAGAAACTGCCCCCACTTGACGAAACCAATCCATCTACTCGGTGAAACTAATCCCTCCCTCAGTGAAACCGAATCCCTCTACTCGATGAAACCAATCCCTCCACTCCACGAAACCGAACCCCCTCCAGTTGACGAAACTAAATCCTTCGCATCACCATTATGTAGAGATTGTTGATTTGGTGGGTTTTGGTTGTGGGAAAGAGGATTTGTAGTGAGAGAGGGAGTGAACCGAAGCGAAAATCAGAAAACAATGGCAAGCAATTACGTAAACATAACTGCTGTCGTATGCCTGCTGGTTTTTGGTAAATCCCATTACGTGAATGGTAAATTTCACTATACATGTAGTTAATTATGGATTTTACAAAATACATATTGTGATTTACAACTTTTGTAGTGAAAGTGACTACTTTGTTAATGGGTTTTGCAACCTATTTTCAGGAGATAAACAACTTATTTGTAAAAACTAATAAAATTTCACGTTAAATTTGACAAAACGTATAGTGGGATTTACAACTTCCGTAGTAAAAATGACCACTTATTGAATGGGTTTTGTAACTTGTTTTCAAGGGATGGGCAGCTTGTTTCTAAAAACTAATAAAATTTCCTACTAAATTTGACAAAACACATAGTGAGATTTACAACTTTCGTAGTGAAAATAATCACTTCTTCAATGGGTTTTGTAACATGTTTTCAAGGGATTGGCAACTTGTTTCTAAAAACCAATAAAATTTCATGCTGAATTTTATAAAACATAGAATGATATTTACAACTTTTGTAGTGAAAATTACCACTTCTTAAATGAGTTTTGCAACCTCTTTTCAAGGGATTGGCAACTTGTTTCTAAAAATCAATAAAATTTCATGCTGAATTTTACAAAACATAGAATGATATTTACAACTTTTGTAGTGAAAATTACCACTTCTTAAATGAGTTTTGCAACCTCTTTTCAAGGGATTGGCAATTTGTTTCTAAAAACCAATAAAATTCCATGCTGAATTTTACAAAACATAGAGTGATATTTACAACTTTGTAGTGAAAATTACCACTTCTTAAATGAGTTTTGCAATCTCTTTCAGGGGATGAGCAACTTGTTTCTAAAAATCAATAAAATTTGACGCTGAATTTTACAAAACACACAGTGATATTTACAACTTTTATAGTGAAAATGACCACTTCTTAAATGGCTTTTGCAACCAGTTAATTCAACGTGACTACAAAAGTTGTCATTTTTATTAGTTTTTACAAACAAGTTGTTTATCTCCTGAAAACAGGTTGCAAAATCCATTAACAAAGTAGTCACTTTCACTACAAAAGTTGTAAATCACAATATGTATTTTGTAAAATGCATAATTAACTACATGTATAGTGAAATTTACCATTCACGTAATGGGATTTACCAAAAACCAGCAGGCATATGACAGCAGTTACGTTACGTAATTGCTTGCCAGTTTTCTGATTTTCGCTTCATCTTTCAGCTTCGGTTCACTCCCTCTTTCACTACAAATCCTCTTTCCCACAACCAAAATCAACAATCTCTACAGAATGGTGATGCGAAGGAGTAAGATAATAGCATTTCCAACATTATTCTTTCCTTCTTTCTGCATTTCATCAGCGTCGGTCTTCCTCTCTCCTTTCTCTCACTCCGTCGATCTTCTTCTCTCCTTTCTCTCACTTTCAGCGTCTATCTTCCCGTATTTCATCAGGACATTTTGGTCTTTTGGGCGAAAATATGAATTCCAGATTGGTACCCAGTGCCCTATTTGTTATTTTGCTTATTCAGGTGCCTTATTTGTCTTTTTAAAATTCAAGTGGTATTTTATTGTCATTTTCCCAAAAAGAAAAGGGCGCCCTAGACCGCGTATGGCTTCTCTCCGCTGCGTCCTTTTCTCCGCTGCCCTCCTATACCTAAAACCACGACGTTTGGGTGGAAAATAGGGTTCAACGCTTCTTCCTTTCTTTTCTAATTAAGATTCATTGTCTTAAAATATTTTTAAAAAACACTCAATATTTTAAAATAATTTTTTGATATACTCAGAACCATAAAATATCTTTTCAATAACACTCAGTATTTCAAAAATACACTCAGCAGTTAGTGTTATTGGAACCCAAAATTATTTTAGGATACTAGTATACTACTGAAAAATGTACTAGGGTGCTTATTGTACTAAAAAATTATTTTGAAACTCTGAATGCTCCTAAAAAAAACTTTTGAGGGTGTTGAGTATATTTTTAGGATACTGAATGTTATTTTTAAAAAAAAAAGTTTATGGGACTGCCAAAAATTATTTTAAGATATTAAAAGAATAATTTAGGATGCCAAAAAACGCCCCAAAGAAACCAAACACTTCAAAGCTAACCCATGTGCTTTTTTCTCCCACGTGTTTTTTAGCAATATCGTAAATTATTTTTTCAAGAACACCCCATATCCTAAAATAATATTTTCAGTAATACTCGGTATCCTAAAAATATGCTCAACACTTTCAAATATTTTTTTCTAGGAGGAGCATTTAGAGTTTTAAAATAATTTTTGTTATAATAAGCACCCTAAAATATTTTTTCAGTAATATCCTAAATAATTTTGGATTCCAATAACACTGAGTGCTAAGTGTATTTTTGAAATACTGAGTGTTATTGAAAAAATATTTTACGGTGCTGAGTATATAAAAAAATTATTTTAGAATATTAAGTGTTTTTTAAAAATATTTTAAGATAATGAATCTTATTTAAAAAAAGAAAAAAAAAAAAGAAAAAGAGGCATTGAACGCTATTTTCCACCCAAAACGTTGCAGGTTTAGGTATAGGAGGGCAGCGGAGAAAAGGACGCAGCGGAGAGAAGTCATACGCAGACCCCTAGATTCATCCTCCCGAGTTCGGACTGACCCTCAAAAGGCCGTCTCTCGCTGAAATCTCATTTTGCTATGTGAAGATGTTGCTCTCTCAAGCTACAAGGTACGCCTTCCTTCAGTTTCCTCTCTTTCTTCCATCATCTTCTTCTCGCTTCCTTATCCATTTACCTCGTACCTTTTGTCTCAACTTCCTCCTACATTCCCATTCTTCAAATTCTAACGACATCACAGATGTGGTTGATTCATTCAATCAGACGCTTTGTAAGCGTCCCCCTCCCTCCATCTTTGCAATTGACAAAATGTTGGGGGCCATTGCCAAAATGAAGCGTTATCCCACCGTTATTTCTCTTTGTTCTCAGGTGCAGTTGAAGGGTTTCACTCCATCTTTAGCTTTTCTAGCTATTTTGATCAACTGTTACGGCCACGTGGGTCAGATGAATTGTGCTTTCTCCGTATTGGGGAAGATTTTTAAGATGGGTTTTCAACCGAATACTATAACTTTAACTACACTATTGAAGGGACTCTGTATCAACAACATGATTGGGGAAGCATTGGATTTCCACGATGAGGTAATTGCAAAAGGATATTTTTTGGATGAAATTAGTTACGGCATAATAATCAATGGATTATGTAAGGTGGGGAAAACCAGATGTGCTGTCAAATTACTCCAGAAGCTGCCTGGACTTGGAATGAAGGCTGACGTAGTTATGTACAGCACAGTCATGGATGGTCTTTGTAAAGAGGGATTTGTGAGAGAGGCACTTGATTTGTTCTCAGAAATGATTGACAATGGAATATTTCCCGATACTATCACATACACCACTCTCGTGGATGGATTCTGCAAAATCCAGCAATGGGAAGAAGTTACTGAATTGCTCAATGATATGTTTCGAAGAGGTATCAACATGGATGTGACCACCCTTACTACATTCGTGGATGCATTTTGTAAAGAAGGAAGGATCATAGAAAGTCAAGTTATGTTTGCCAAAATCATGAAGTATGGTCATAAGCCTGATGTCATTTCCTACAACAGCTTAATGAGTGGATATTGTAAGGTCAACTATGTAAAGGAAGCAATTGAAGTATTTAATAAAATGACTAAAAATGGTTTGAGACCAGATGTGTTGAGTTATAACATTTTGATTGATGGGTGTTGTAAGAATAAAAGATTGGATGAGGCCATGTATCTCTTTAAGAAAATGCGTTCAAGAAATTTGGTTCCCAGCACAGCAAGTTATAATTGTCTGATTGACGGCTTGTGCAAAGCAGGAAGAATCTCATTTGCTCGTGATCTTCTTGATGAGATGCATCACAGAGGTCATCCTCCTAATATAATCACTTATAATATCTTGATACATGCACTATGTAAAAGGCAGGATATTGATCGAGGAATTGCATTATTTCAACATCTTGTCGAAAAGAATATTCAACCTACGGTTCGCACTTACAATATTCTCATGGATGGCTTGTGCAGTAGTGGAAGATTAAATAAGGCAAGAGAGATTTTTCAATATCTTTTGATGGAAGGTCGGCATCTAAATGCTGTGTCCTATACTATTATGATCAAAGGACTTTGTAAAGAGGGTTTGTTTGACGAGGCAAAGGCCCTCCTTGACAATAAAATGGAAGACACCGACTACGTCCTAGACACGACAACTTTTACAGTTATTATTGGACATCTTCTTGATAAAAATGAGGATGATGAGGCAGAGAAGCTTCTTCGTAAGATGATTTCTAAGGGTCGTTAAAATGAAACAGGGTGAGACCCTCTATTGTTTGTTTGTTATTGAAGTTGTGTATCTTACTATTGTTGATGTTCTGTTTAAGCCATGTGTTTAGCTAATTATTTTGACTCTGTTCCATTATCATTGTGAAATTTTTGTCTTAACATGGCGTTCTTCTTTCTTCCTTAATGGCCCAATTCTAATTTGTTTTATGTTGAAAGCTATTTTTGTCAGCAAACTTATTTTCTCTTTGTTCAATTACCCTATATAATCTAGTTGAGGGTCTCTGTTTTATGTTTAAAGTTACTTTCTTATGATTGAATTGCAAAATTTAATCCGGCTCATCATGACTAGCTACAAAACTGAATTCCCTCTTTCCCGTCAGTGAAATATCCATCCTTTGATTTAAATTTTGCTATTAATTAGCTATGACGCATTGTGGTTATTTTTAGTGTAATATTTGCACTTCCATTAGCCAATATATTTTGTTGTGACATATTAAGATTTTTGTTTAAATTGAGCCCTTGCTATTGTTTAATTTCTATGAGCCAAGCAATGAATTCTTTCAGATGAAACTAACCGTAAGATTGCCTTTCTGATGTGCAAGTTTTTAATTATATCTTGCATCATTCTATTTACTCCTAACCAGAAGCTGAAAGGGTTGATTGTTCCCAGTGCAAAATCTTATCCTTTTGATTCCCTTATGAAGGACTATAGCAAGCTTCTTTTGCATCTGTTCTTTTAGGTGCAACAGGTTGCACAAACGTACTTGAGTTTCTGAATTCTCTGTGGTATACATGCAAGTTCAAATAATACACACTTGAGAATTTCAAACCTACTTTATTAAGCCTTTAGAGAGCTATTAGTGGAACATGTATCATTCTCGTGATTTTTTTTGTGCTTCAAATTTATTGGAGGAATGACATTCGTAAACATCGATTAGACAGTTACAAATAGGAATCTCATTTATAAGCTGAGAGTTACTTTTCAAATTTGAATGTCTTGATTTTAATTAAAACTTCTAAATTTACAGTTTGAATTATTATCTGCAACTGTGTTTTTTTTGCCCCCTTTTTTGCGGGTTGTGATTGATCAGTGAACACCCAATATTTTTCCATCAATGGGTGTTATAAACTAGTGAAATTGTGCATCGGAACATGATTTTTTCATCAACATAGCACCGAGTCCAAATTATAATCAAGATGTTATTAGATTATTGCATTATAAATAATTAATGATAGGCTAAATTATACATTTAGTTATTTAACGTTATACAATATTTTAATTTAGTCTCTTTAATTTAAAAAATACATTCTTAGTCATTTAACCTGGAAATTATTAATAAAAAAATGATAGCATTGATATAACATCTACTATAACCATATCAAAATGGTTAATTAATTAGCTGTTGAACCACTGAGTAAAGTTTGGTCCTAAGAAAGAAGAATACTTTCATCAAATTACTTTTTAATATTTTTCTCAAACACAGGGTATGATCTTGTATCAAAGATGAAATTTCTAAAAAAAACTTTCAAACTTTATAAAACAATTTGCAGAATGATCTGTTCAGTGATTTAGATATTTAATTAATTTCTTGGCTCAAATATTAAAGAGCAACTTTGAACTAGACAGTTAATATTGAATTCACAATAATAACTAAACATCCATCTATAATCATACAATCATCTGAGCTGATGGCACTTGCCTACTAGCTACAAAAACTATTACTTCCCTCTTTATGGAGGTATATATAGCTCATAAGTACTTCACATAGTTACATATAATTATATACATATCTTTAGCCACACAGGGCTACCAAAACATAACTAAAATATCAAAATAAGACTTGATGACCAACTGTCTCATCATTTCAGCTACCAACATGTTAAACTCCTTCAATAACTACTCCCTTGCCTTTAGAGCCTTTTGCCCTCCCTGTGTATCATAGAAGAAAGATGTGAGATTCTAGGAATCTTAGTAGTAACCGTTATCCATCATACAATTATACAAAGTTTAGAAATGCATACAAAACAAGTCATATTAACAGCACTTGCAACCAAGCATAAACAACGATGCTCAAACATTATAAGCTTTGCAAACAGATATAATTAATGATGCTCATGCATCCCACGCTTTGCAATGCACATGGCTATGACAATTAAATCAACACCAAAAAAAGTCACATACTCATGATTGAGTATAACTCTGCGAGTTCAATGTAAAGCAAATTTCACATACTCACTTATAAGTACGGCTTTACAAGCTCAACGCAAAGCAAATTTCACATACCTATACTTGAGTATAGCTCTACGAGCTAGCAATTGTTTATCACAAAACATTCACCATATATTCATTATAGCATATAGGCACTATGGCAAGAATAGGCATGCAGAATTATTGCATAATTATATGAGAGGAAAAGAGTCAATACCTGAAGTCCCTTCTTCCGGTTTACCTTTTCTGGATTTCTTCTTTACTTGCTTTCTTAGCAGGCTCAGACAGATATCAAAACCTATAATATAGCTTCATATATAAATGGTTTAATACTTAGTTCATTTAACTTTTGTTGTCAAAATATAACTTCTCTTGGCCCACTAATAAACTCTATTTCTTTTTATTTAATAGTTGGTCATCCTGAAAAAAAAAATATATTCATTAATTTATTTAAAGACATTAAAAATTTTCTTTCCCCCTCTTAATCCCAATTCTCTGAGTTTCTCCTTTTTTAATAACTAGTCATCTTGGTCAAAAAAAATTGTATTTGACTTTCACTTGTAAGAACAATCCCCTTAGTTAATATTTGAAAGCACCTATTTAATATTTGAGAGCAACCAGCATATTCACTTATTCATCCTCTAATTGCTAATAAACATAGTTGACAACTTAATACATTTAATCCAAGACTTCCAAGTTCAAGAATAATTCCTACTTATTATTTAACCATCTAAAATCATTGTACAGCTCTTGAGAACATGAAATACTCATTTTGGAATCAGTTCCAGCTTCCTCAATATGAACGTCATGGCCTTTACACGATATATATATATATATATATATATATATTTACTCACACACACAGGTATATCCATTAATGAACCTTTCTTCCACTTCGGCAACGCGAGCATATGTGTGTGTACACACACACACACACATCATTGCCAGGTTTCTATACATATATACGTATTTATACTCTCTAAGCCCCCACAGACACACACATTCATGCTCTTCATTTTCTCATTAAACCCAAGTCATCTCTTTGAACCATTACCCCTGTTTCGGGGACTAATAACCAGAGAAGAAGAGCAATAAAATTATCTTCACAGATCAGTCACGAGTTACACAAAAAATTGAAGGAGAAAGTGACATGCAAACCCCTGTATAATCTATTTGGACTCCAATCTACCTCCTTCAATTCGGCAAACTTCACCCATTTAAATTCCATAGACTTTGGTTGGCCAAAAAACAAAAAAAATCCATAGAGTCTGGCGCCATATAGCAGAACAGCGGCTGGAAGATTAGCGGCGTGTTTGTTTTTGTTGTTTGTTTTCTTGTTCTCAAAACAATTTTATAAAATTGTTTCTTAAAATAAGTTTTGAAAACAAAAAACAAAAGAATTTGTTTGGACAATAATTTTAAAAATCATGTTTGAAAAAAAATCATAGAAAATCACACTTAGTAAGTGATAATTATCACTAGTAATAATAAGTAGTGGATAGTAACTGAAAAGAAAAGAAAATTTTTCAAAATTTTTCAAAACAAAAAAAAAAACACAAAAATAAAAACAAGAAAACATGTGAAAATTGTTTTAGTTTTTTAGTTTTTAAAAACATATTACTGTTTTTTGTTTTTTAAAACAAGTACCTAAAAACAAATTACCCAACAAATTTTTTTATTTTTATGTTTTTGAAAACAAAAAATTGTTTTAAAAAAGAATCAAACAGGCTCACAGAGATTTTATTCCTCCAAGGTCTCACGAAATGTCAAAATTACTAGCAGATCCCAAGGGACCTTAGAGTATTATATTCTAATTGTAAAATGACACCACTGCTCCTCAGATTCTCAATTCATATTTTCTCTGCTATTGCTATTGACAACCTCAATAATGACTATTAACAACCCAATGAGAACGTGTTGAAAATCTAAGCAGTATCAGTTGACAACTTACTTTATAGAATCATATAACCTCCACATAAAAATAAATTATAACCAAATAGTATAATACAACAACTTTAATACTGAAATGGGAAGCTTTTTGAAATTATTAAGAACTTTAACTAAACCTAATAGGACTATAGCAAAATTTTAATGCGGAGATGCATTAATAACCTCAACGGTGAGTATTATAACCGAAGAAGAGCTATTGACAACCTAGATAGTGTCTGTTAATAACTGATTTTATAGGATAATATAACCTCTAACAATTATAACGAATTAAATTATAACTAAATGGGGTTAAAGTTGATCTTATGTAGTTGTTATGTTATACTATTTAGTTATAATTTGATCTTATGTAGATGTTATATTATCCTATAAAGTCAGTTGTTAACAGACATTGTCTAGGTTGTCGACAGCTCTCCTTGTGTTATTAATACTCACCGTTGAAGTTGTCAATGGATCTCCATATTAAAATTTTACTATAGTCCTATTAGGTTTAGTTAAAGTTCCTAATGGTTTCGAAAAGCTTCCCATTTTAGTATTAAAGTTATTATATTATACTATTTGGTTATAATTTACTCTTATATGGAGGTTATGTGATCCTATAAAATAAGTTGTCAACGGATACTACTTAGGTTGTCAATACCTTCTCATTAGGTTGTTAATAGTCGCTGCTGAGGTTGTTAATTGTAATGGCAGAGAAAATGTGAATTGAAAATCTGAGGGGTAGTGATGTCATTTTACAATTAGAATAAAATACTCTAAGGTCCTTTGGGACCTGCTAATAATTTTGACATTTTGTGAGACCTCAAATAAATAAAGTCTCTTTCTTAGGACTTCTGCACGATTTTCCCATTTTTAATCTATCATCATTTCCTTCGAGACACAGAAAAGGAAAGAAATAAGGTAGGAGAGTGTTAATCGATCTTACCTCAATTAGAAAATACTATTGCATGCAAACTTCTCCCCTCTGATCACCACTTCACCGCTTAGTCTCTCTAATTTCCAGAGCAGGGAAAATGGGCCAAGCTTGTCGAGCCGGCCCGTTTAGGCCCTGAAATTATGAGGGCTGGGCTTGATATTTTTCCCTAAAATGGGAAATAAGCCCTGGAGGGCCGAGGGCTTAAAAGGGCCAGCCCTAGAGGGCTGTGGGCCTGCCCTTTTAAGCCCTTTTATAATTTTTTTGTTTTTTAAATTTTTTTATATAATTCTAATGTTATTAATTTTTTACATTGTTAATAATATTTCAAATATTTAGTTATTATTATCATTTTAAAATTAAATTTAGTGTTAGACAATAATTTATCCAATTAAATTTTTAAAAAATGGGTTAATTTGGACTTTAATAATGATTTGATTTATATTATATGCGTTGATATTTTTAAACTATATATATATTTGATAATAGAGTATTTTTATACTCATATAACTTGTGATTTTATAATTTGAATTAGAAATTTATGAGTTTCAACAATAATGTTTCTCACATTAAAGTAAAATAATAGCTAGATTGTAAAATTTAAAAGTAAAATTCCTATAAAGAAGAAAAACTTGATATTTTTGTTACGAAAGAAAAGCATACTTATGAAGAAGAGTAATTAATTATAGTGATGATGAAATTTCAAAAG